TGATAGATGAGAACTGGCTGAATCCCATCACTGGTGTAGACCAATGTTTCAAGCAAAAACTATGGTTCATCGTCACCTGGTGCTGACCAGTTCTTGATTTCCCTTGATTACTCCACCATTTCTGCTGTTATTGCAAGTTCTCTCATTTCAACTTTTTTTTTTTTTAAATCCATTTCCAAGCTTCTTGGTGTATTTCTTTGGGTTGTCCTAGAGCTGTACCCAGAATGCACTGTTTTTTTTCCTCTGGCAGGTGTTCAATGGTTCAGTGCAGTCTCTCCATTAATGGATGGATAGAAACGTTTCTGAATTTGGAGGTCCTGTCTGTAGTGTACAATTCAAGGTTTGTAATTGCTGATCTTTTAGTTATAGTTATAGTTATAGTTGTTTCTTGTTTTATTACCCAATCCCATCAGAAGCTCATGAGACTGTTGGCCTAATCGAGAGGTGGTATTCAGCTGGTTCTCTCTGGTTCGGGAAAATCGGTAGTGGCGACTGCGGGAAACTCCAACCACCTGCCCCAACATAATGCACGAGCACTGTGCATGCGCAGAAGGCAGTGCACATGCACAGATGTGGCGCATGCACTCACATGGACAGGGAAGGTAAGTGAATCCCACTACTGGCCTAATTTTATGAAAATGTAAAGCTGAAGTAGGTGTAGGTTTAGACTGGGTGTAGACTGTTTAACTATGGCATTTAGATCCTGATAATTGGTTCATGGGCCATATCAATTAACACAGAGACAGAGTAGAACCCTATAGCATCCCATAAGGTAAAAGCTGAGAAAAAAGCAGTAATTCCCCAGTTTGCCTATATGAAACCCCAATGATAGGCATAGAACCACAACAAAACCATGTTCCCATCCATCAATTCCTGAAAGTGGTTCAGATGGTGTCAGAAGATGTCAAGATATATACAAGCACAAGCAGAGACAAATTACCCAGTTGTACCGTCTACTAGTCCATCCATCAGAGCAACTAAAACTGGCCCTGAAACAGCTGTAGATGAAGATCATCTAGAGATGCTTGGAGTTGTTCTACCAACTATTCTGTTGGCTGGAGCTTAGAACAACGGATGGGTTTTATTTGACTTTGCAACCCTACAGCAGATTGAAAGCATTTTGCTTCCTAGGATTCATCATAGATCTTTCTATTTTGAGAAATAATGCAGAATGCATAATGATAACATGTATCACATATACATACATGAGATGGTAAATCTCATGGAAATCAATGAGTCGATCTGAATGCTTACTTTCAATTTTGGCATTCAAATTGACAACATTATTTATTTATTTCTGGAAAATATAATGTTAACTAATATAACTAATTTCCTTTTGTGATCTTACAGATGCGCTGAACTGCAACTCCCATTGCTTGAATTAAAACTGGAATTGTACTACAGTTTCAGGAAGGCCATCCTTCAGCCTTGAGTTGATGTTCATTGTCTTTTATTTATTCAAGTGTATGCCATGCTGTATAACTTCATGGCACTTTCCTGAGTTGCAGGATTCCATTCCTTATATTTCTTTCAGCCCCCTTTACTTTCTGTCTCTACATCTGTCTCACTGTTGCATTAGTGTTTCCTGTTCAACTGATCTTACCATTTGAAGCATCCTCTCTTTTGAGGTGCATTCTTTCTTGGAACCTCACTCAAACCATTTGTAGTCATAGAAGCAACCCAGGATTATTTTTCCACACAAGAGTTTGATACTTTTTCAGGAATTGGCAGGTTATGCCATCACTCCAGTTATCAGACTGGGTGTTGAATTACATGATGCAATTATTTGAAAATGTGTCTTGCATGCAGATAGTACTGAACAAAATGTTCCACAGAGATTTTCTGGAAGGCAGTATTTCTAGTCTAGTAATCTTCTCCATACTTGTACTAGCAAAATAGGAAGTTTAACTGGCATTGGCTTGAAGAACTCAAGATCAATTGTGGATTCCTAATTGCTGGAACCGGCAGTGACCCAAGCCTGCCACACCCCCGAACTGGTTCTCTGGGCAGTGCTGTAGGCGCAGCCATCTTGTTTTGGGGTTCTGTGCATGCGCAGAATAATTTTAACTGCACTGCACTTGGGCATGCAGTGTACACGCACAACACATCCACAAGCAAATTGTCAGTAGTGCCTGCCGGAACCCACCCCTGCTCAAGATTGTATGGATTTGTTCTTCACTGGGACACCTGGAGAGCTTCTCTGTCTTTGGAAGAGATGACAAATATTATGGGAAGCACTGAAGGTATGAAATAATGATGTATCTTCCTCGATGCAGCAGAATTTATTATGGGGGATTAAGGATGATGAGAAATATAAGAGGTGAACTTTTTGATCTTCTTCAGAAACAAAACAATAATAAAGGCAGCCAGCTGGAGGGGACCCACCTAATATACCATCATTCCATGGGTTTCATTTCCAGGTTTTCCCTGTCCTTCCCAAGATACAGGAAGGAACACAAGAATAGTTCATTGTGATTAGACCAATTCTTGTAACACTTCAATAACAATTCAAGAATAGTTATGAATTGAAGGCAGGCCTATTGATCACTGAACTGAATCTACTTCCTCAATACCATTCCCAACGTGGTCAGTTTTGAAGTGACCAAAGCCCTCTCCCTTTTTAAACTAGTTGCAGTCATCTCATAATTTGCCAGGGTAGAGAGCACTGCAACAACAGAGCAGGATCAGAACTCTTTTGAGGATTTTGAAAAGGATAGGTTGGATTGGACTCTTTTGTTCTAATATTGAGGTGATTTATTTTCCCAAACAGCCCAAGTCTTCTCTGGAGTTTTGGTTTCATCCAACTTGAGGAAATCACTACTGTTTGAGAGGCAATAGTCTACCTTTTTTTTCTTAGTTGCATCTGTAGATACAAGTGGTAGACCCTTTGCAATGACATGCAAATCTTGTGAAATGTAATAAGGACAATAGCAATAGCACTTAGACTTATATACCACTTCAAAGTGTTTTATAGCCCTCTCTAAGCCGTTTACAGAGTCAGTATTATGCCCCCAATGATCAGGGTCTTCATTTTACTGACCTCGGAAGGTGGAAGACTGAGTCAACATTGAGCCTGGTGAGATTCTAACTGCCAAATTGCAGTCAGCAGGCAGTCAGCAGAAGTAGCCTGCAGTACTGTATCCCAACCACTGCAACACCACTGCTCTTATAATAAGAGTATGTGTGATCAAAGCAGAAGATAGTCATTCACTTTTTCATAAATTAAGTCTCTCACCTACAATTTGGCTAAGGTATCAAATCATAAAACTGTTTGTTTGTTAAGAAATTAGCAGCAGTTCAGAAATAGACTGAGAGCCACATAGAAACGTTTCATGATTCCTTGGCTCTAGGTTATTCATCTGAACCTGTGGCAGGAACAGGTACTAGACTGGGATGGATGATCACAAGTGTCATCTGAACCATCTAGATATGAATTAGGGATTTTATAAAATTAAAAAAAACAGCTGCAACAATACTTCTTTGAAATTCACTTTCAGGAATAAGAACTCAGGTGTATACAGTGTCTGAGTATGACAAAGTAATTTTGTACGTAAAAGAAGACAAAACAGAAAAAAGAAGAAGTTACCCAAAGTGACAAATGTTGATCTGATAAAGGGAACAGTTATCTTCTGGAATTCTTGCATTCCATTTTTTATGAGCTACATGTTTACAACCTACAGAAAGCAAATATTGCAGACATCTCATATCTTCAACACAATCATATGATAATTATTGAACTTAATGTTTCTGCCCTTGGAAACAGAACCTGTTTGATGCTTGTATATGAGAGACCAGTCTTGCTAATGATACGACATGTTTAGATCTTGTCAGAAAGCTTCATGTTTTTCAATCTCTTTTTTCTTCCCAACAGCTCATAACAACTTTTCCATTCTGCATAGTAGTCTGTTGAGCAAAAAGAAACAACTTTCTGAAAGAGTACTTATTTTACTCATTCTTATTTCACTCTATTCACTCTTGTGTTCAGATGATATTATTTTCTAAAACAAGTTAAAATTTCAATCCATTCAAAAAGGTTCTGGGAATAATGGAAAATAGAGTAGTTCTTCTGTTGTCTTGTGACAATGGTAATAGGAGTGGACTCCTTCTCCAGGGGGAGAGAATAGTAAGCACGCCAACACAAGAAACTGTCTGATGAACAGTTCCATAACTATGTATATGATAATGTAAGCCAGGATATAATGTTACCACATCATGTGGGCATTCCAATGAACTAGAATTAGTTTAATAAAACAAAATTAGCAGAGAAACAGAAAGGACTAACTGAGCATTATGAATGTCTGTGAAGCTCAGGTGCCACACTGTCTCATGTATTCGTAATGTTCAGTTAGGCCCTTCTGTCCATCCACAGTTTGTGCCTTTTCCAAGGCCCATGTATTTCCTTCCAGAGACACTCTGACCTTAGAAAGCATGATAAATATGTTAGTATTTAATGCAAGATCTTTGTAAAGCTTTTAACGGGAATAAGCTGGTGGATAAATACCTGTTCCTAACTATAGAACTTGCAGCTGTTTCCTTCACTTCTACCATAAAGAAATTAGTCAGTATGACCCGCCCCTGACTTGTGTATTTGTGTGTCTAGTACCTGAATTGTTTGTGAGGATAACCTTCCTACTTCTTTTTTCTGACTATAGATACAACAGCAAGGTCAGTTCAAGGATAGTTAAGTGAAATAAATCTTTTTTGCAATATTTAAATGTTTCTCAGGTAAAATCAGGTATCTGCATGACACAGTTCTATTTATATCATCTATCTATTATCTATTGTCTGTCTGTTTGTCTATTTTTCTGTCTGTCTGTCTATCATAGCTCTCTCTCGCTCTCTCCTAATCTCTCATCTATTATCTTTGCAATCATTTTACCAAAATGTGGAAAAAGTTGAATAAGTTTTGAATAAGCACTTGTGTCATCTAAATGTTATCTAAAGCATTTAGCTATCAGGATCTGAGGATTTCCCAAGAGTTAAATTGAGTTGAGGCTGTAAACTGAGAATTGTCAACGTAAAAACAAAATAGAATTCCCAGATATTTGTTAAAACTTGATGTCAGACTTATTTTTAATTGCTTTGGGTTTTTCCTAAGTTTCCTAGGGTTTGGTCTTACCTTTTTATACAGTATTTTATCCCTAAAGCTCATTTTACCTGCATTTGGAAAAGATCAGAAAGTAGGAAAAGCATGCCAAACATTATTTCTGGATTCTTTCCAGCCAGTTTGTGTTTGACTGAATGTGCCCATTGGAAAGTATAGGATAGGCTGGGTACTCTCCCCTGTGGATCTGATTATGGAAAGAGGCAGAGGAGAGAAGAGATGGAAGCTTAGAAAAGAGCAGTTGCCACCATAAGGATGAAGGAATATTTTTCCTGAAATGTTTTTCTTCCCGGCCTGATGCAGCCCACTTTTCAAATTCAATCTTTCTTCTTATCTTTCTATAATGATTTAAAGAAATTTATTAGACTGATGGACCGCACACCACTATCAACATTATTTCTTTCCAATATCCCATTGGTTGCAAAGCATATAAAAGGAGTTTATTGTGTAAAGGGAAATATAGGAGAAATAAAGGAATGTTACTATGGAGAAATCTAGATAAAATGACACAACTTCAGATAAAATCAGTTCAGTCACTCTCTTTAAGTTTTAGCACATGTTAATTGCAGAGAGGATTCTTTGAGGGCTATCATCTGTTTCTTAGATGTTCATAGTTAAAGTTCCTTTTCCTTCCTTTTTTAATTAACAATTTTGTAATGCTTGGTGTTTATAGTAATTATATAGTTACTCTACCCCAAGACCACTTTCTGGAATTGTTTCTAGTTTTCATTTTTGCAACATTGATAGCAAAGCTGAATAAAGTATTCCAACTGCACAAAGAATGAGAACATCAACCATTTTTAGTCTCTTTCTTAATATTCCCTAACGGGAATTTGCCTTTTACATAATGTCTGTATGCAGCATCTGTGGTTTCTTCAAGTAATCCTACGCAGTCCCAAAACTTCATTCCAGTTAGATGATGCCAGCTTATCAGGAAAGGGAAAAAGTCCCCTACCTTATTTATATAATTGTGTGATTCATCTGTGAAAAACTTTTAGGAAAATATTTTTGTCAGTTTTGATTATTTCACCACTGATCCTTCCCCACTCAAGTAATTTTATAAAACATGACTAAACATTATTATAAAAATAATCATGAGTGCTATGCAATAATAAAGAGTTGCTGTTGTGTCAAAAAGATACGTAGTGAACTCCAGTGTGGACAAAGCCAACAACACATTTTAGAAAGTACCCTGTTTCCCTGAAAATAAGACCTTCCTGGATAATAAGCCCAATTGGGCTTTTGAGCACATGTGCTAAAATAAGCCCTCCCCCCAAAATAAGCCTTCCCCTAAAATATTGCAACATAGCAGCAGCCATGAGGTGACCACTCTTGCCGCCTCCTGCACCTCAAAAATAATAGGACCTCCCCAAAAATAAGGCCAAGTGCTTATTTGGCATCAAAAGAAAATAAGACTCTGTCTTATTTTTGGGGAAACACGGTAGTTGACCAATTCAACCATAGCATGGAATTAATATCCTACTGAAAAGTAAACAAATATGCAGCCATTTTAACCTCTGTAAAAAATAATTGGGATGTTACACATTCTTCAAAAATCCCTTTGACATGTCTTATATTACAATCATAATGTAACCTATCTGAGATTCTGGGTTTGAGATACACAGTTTTTGAATGTTATATGTCCTAACGTTACACAAGAAGTGGATACATTTCTGTCATAGAATGGGAACACATATGATAAATAACTTTTTTACTAGGACCAAATAATGTTTCAAATTTCCAGTTCTTTTCTAATCTCAATATTGGGTTTCCCCCCCTAAAATCTAATTCTGCTCTTCTGAAAGTGAATTCCAGTAACTTTGCTGAGTGTAGGTCAGAAGTGGTATTCACCCAGCCAGTTCTGACAGATTCTGGAGAACCGGTAACAGAAATTTTGAGTAGTTTGGAGAACCGGCAAATAGGCTGGCCCTGCCCCCGTTGCCTCCCAGTCTCCCAGCTGATCTGCTTTTGTTGCCCTGAACAGGAGAACGGAACTGGAAAGCAGGTTAGTGGGGTGGGGAGGGAATGGGGATTTTGCAGTAACCTTCCCCTGCCAGGCCCACAAAGCCACACCCACAAAGCCATGCCCAAAGAACTGGTAATAAAAAAAAATGAATCCCATCACTGGTGTAGGTATGTTCCAATGTTCCTATGTGCACAATATTATTAAGTACTTAAATCTCTCCAGAACTTCTTACATTGTTGTCTGAAAACAGTATTTTCTTGTCTGTTTCTATTCATACATGTGATTGTTTATTATCCCTATCATAATAGTTGAACAAAGGGGCTGGAAAACCTGAACTTGCTGATAGCTGCAGTAGTACAATTAATATTTGGGTCCTTTTCAAGGTTTTATTATTAAAACCATATAATCCAGTATTACAATCAATTCATCGCTGGATCCTACTACAGTAACTCAGTGTCAGACCTGGAAGCCATCTTTTACATTGGGCCTTCAACCCCGCCACATTTTCTACTGTGGGAAAATGGGAGGGGGGATTATATGGAGTATGGGTGATATAGTCAAAATAACATTCTTTTCTCAGAGAGTCAAGGACACCTTGCCCTGCAGCTGCGCCGGAGTGACTGGGAGGCATCTCCAGTTTTGGACGGTGCCTAATTGGATCATGTGATTGACATGGGTGCTGGGCAGGGACTTGAACTTTCATTTGGGTGGGAAAAACCTGGAAACTTTTCCCAGATGTGTCAATATGACATCTCTAATAAAATGGAACTTTGAGGAAACTCAAGCCTCAGAGTCTTCTTTCGTTGGGGGTGTTACTTGGAACCCTGACATTAACCCGAATTATGATTGTAAGATGATAGTTCCTGTTTTCAGTGAAGCTTAAATGCAGCTCATATTTTTCTTGTTTCCTCTTCACTCAGCTGTTTTTCTACTTTTAGAGAGATACTTTTAGCAAGAGAAAAATATTGAAAATATGCAATATGTGCATATTCAAAATATGGTCCCTCTTCATCAGAAATGATCCATTGCACTACCTCTTCTCCACTGCTAAGGATAATGACAATGTCCTTGCACATTGTCTCTCAGGTCTCTCTAACAGCGTTACCAGAGAATGTGAGTGTATGTGTTTATATGCCACATGCACATACATGCATATGTGCATGCATATGCATATTTTTTTGGGGGGGGGTTTCAATCAAACCCAATTCTTGGAAGCTACCTGGACAAATCTCTCCAGTGTTTAGGCAATGTTTTTCAGGAGTGGTTTGCCATTGCCACTTTCTAGGACTGAGAGAAAATTATTGGTCTTGTGCAGAGGTGACCCATTTTTGTTGGGTTGCAGAACCAGCAGTAATCCATGCTTGCCACACCCCCAAACTGGTTCCCCCATCACCTCTGATGTCGCCACCATGTTGTTTTGTAGTGATTGCACATGCGCAGTTTACTGTAAATTGTTCTGCACATCCGTGAAGAACAATTTCCATTGAACTGTGCATATGCACGAAGCAAAGCGATAGTAAAATCAACAGCCTTGTGGCTTTGTACCTAATGTGGGCCCAGAACTCATGGTCTCCTGGTTTTTAGTCTGATAACATTTAAACTTTTTTTTAAAAAAAAAAAACCTCTATTTTTTTTAAAATAATGGCAAAAAATGGAGAGAGAAACAAAACACAAAGATAAAAATGTATACATTCCAGATCTTAGACCATATTCTCATATGAAAAGATCCAGCTGAGATATCAGAATACGGTTAGATCAGTACAATAAAATAGTTTTACAGTCATAATTTGAATTTTTAATATTACGTTATCTCGGTTAAAAAAAAAACCCCTCCCATCAATCACAGGAGACTCTATTTTAAATAATATTTTTTCTGGTTTAGGGTCTTCTGACAGTTGTTGTACAGCTGGAAATCCAACAGGTGAACTATTTCCCTGAGTGGGAGGAGCTAGGGTATTGAAATGGCTTTCCTTTCCCCATTGAGCAATTGGGGAAGATGTGAAAATTCTTGTTGTCTGAATCTTTTTTCCAATGAAATTGGTGAGATACCAATACAGGAATATACTGCCAGATTGTATTACTTGTTGAAATGAACACTATAAGTTCCTCACCATTTTTCAGCACATAACACTTGTCAGAATCAATAAAACAATAGTTAGGCGCATTCTCAAATCAAGATGGCAGCTGTGATTGCATGATTGAAGTCTCACCTCTTTTAACATGCATCACATACCCAACCAATGTTTTTTTTAAAAAGGATCAAGGCTTTGATAGACATAATCACCATCTTGACTTTTTTCTGACACCCATGGACACCCATCTTCAAATCAGAACGTAACTTCTAAACCTAAGAGCCATAAAAGTAGAATGCTATAGACAGGTTGATCTATAACCCTTTTATCTTCACTTTGTTTTTCTTAAATATCATTGTTCCAAACAAATCAATGTATGATACTTTTAAAGAGATTCCTCCCCCCAATTGTTGCTTACTTCACTAAATGACTCTGAGAAATTTCACAACATATTGCCACATTGTATTTGTGTAAAAATAGGAGTGATCTTGCCCACACCATTGTTTCAGGATATTAGGACTTCTATAAAGTATAAAAGAACGAGATTAGGGCAGCTAAATATTTAACTAAGAGTTTACTTTCAGGTGGACGTCAGCAAAGACAAAATAACCATGACCGTACTCTTTTGCCTAAATAGAGTTGATTGCATTGTTTGGACA